ACCACATCTTCTTTATCCATTCATCTGTTGATGGACATCTAGGCTCTTTCCATAGTTTGGCTATTGGAGACATTGCTTTAAACACTCCTTTTATTTGCCTGTAACATTCCATTTAATTCTATTTGTAAGTTAACCAGTCCCTATTTGAAAGGCAGTTTCCCATCTTTAGTTGTTAAAAATCATGCTGCAATAAATAACTTCATGCATATGTCACTTCTCCTGTGTGCCATGTATTTGTAGGATAAATTCCCAGAAATGAGATTGCAATGAATATTGCCAAATTTACTCCCCAGGTGTTGTATTAATTTGCCCCTTCACCAGCAGTGGATCTGAGGATTGATTTCCTACATGCTTTCTAAAAGAAGGTGGAAAATTCTTCGTGGAGTGTTAAGAAAATCATAACTTTTATACATTTGGGTTTGTTAGGATCTACTCATTGGACAGAACTCCAGTGCCTAGATTTTTGTGTTTGCTGTCAACGAGCACTGTTTCCTTTTGGTTTTTAGTGGAGTTTTATCTTATAAAATGTTCCACTTGAAATTTGAAAAAGAAAAGCTTTAATTTCACTTAGCCAACCTAGAACATCAGGGGAAAAAAAAAAGATGAATGCCAATCAGAGCTTATGTAGATGACAGAATATGGTCACTTGTCTCAAGAATCTTTTTCTCATCAGTAGATGTGTGTCTGGGTGATGCATGTACTGATACCTAGCTTCTTTTAGTGCCTTCTTTTAGAATGGCATAGGAAATAATGTGTTTTAAAAATTTAAGGGCAGTATAGACTAGGAGCCCAGATTCCTGAGTTAAATCTGAATTTGCATCTTCATTCTGCTTGGCCGCTTGCGTAACTGTAAGCCTCAGTATCCTCATCTGTAAGATAGGGTGATGATAATAGTGTCTTGGTCCCTTCGGGCTACTGAAATAGAATAGTGAGGACTGGGTGGCTTAGAAGCAACAGAAGTTTATTGCTCACAGTTCTGCATTTGAGGATCGAGGTGCCTGCAGATTTGGTGGCTTGTGAGGCTCTCCTTCCTGGTTCATAAGGGGCTGTCTTTTTCCCTGTGTCCTCATGTGGTGGCAGGGGTGAGGCATCTCTCTAGAGTCCCTCTTATAAGGGCACCGATCCCATTCATGAGAGCTCCACCCTCATGACCTAATCACTTCCCAAAGGCCCAATCTCCACATACCATCACACTGGGGGTTCGTTTTCAACCTATGGATGTTGCAGGGACCCAAATATTTAGTCGGTAGCAACAAGAATCACTTGAGAAGCTACAGGCAAGGATAGTATGAGTAACATGTGTAAAGCTCTCAGCTCGATGCCTGGCCAACAGTAAGTGCTCACTGAAAGTTAGCTCTTGTTATCAGTCATCACTAATAAATTAAGAATAATTTCCACTTCTATCGAATTATTTTTATTACAGTTGGAAAACAAATAGAATTAAGAAGTTAGAAGCAAAAAATCAACAGTCTCCTGACCAATCCTGCTTCCTAGGGCAATAATTTTAAATTCTTCTTAGCTGTCTCTTCTGGTATTCACCTCTACATTTTTAAGACATAATGTATAAATTAACCAAACTGGGACATTATTTATGACTCCCTCTCTTAGTAAATGAGGAGTGCAGCTTTCCTTTCAGATATTGTGGTCAAATCCTTCTTTGATATTTCTCGTGTTTGATTACGACAGTGTTATTAACTGCTGAGACACAAGTAGGGTGTCATGAGGAGATTTCCTCTTTTGTAGAGCATTGATTTTCCTGGAATTCGTAATTGTCTTATTTCCATTATCTTTGTTTTCTTTGATTTTTGATGGTTTCTTGCTTCTAGTCCTCTTGCTTCATGGGTGGAATATCTTCAGTTACTTCTCCAGCATGATTGAGAGTTTCTTTTCCTTCCTGAATTGTCTATGTCCTCTGAACACCTGCTGTCTGTTTTGCTGTCTCAATTATGTTGGAAGTTTCCCTTACATTTTGGTGATCCTTAGCCTTCTCTTAGTGTTGAAGAACACAAATTTAAAAAGCTGAGTAGGTGTTCTGTGTCTGATGGCAGAGCTTGTCATTTGGTGGATCTCCCTGTCGGGTAACGGGAGGGCTGGAACTGGCATTTTCATTGGGGTGCTAGGTGTCAGAACCTGAGGTCTTACCTCTGAGGTGCTTTGGCTCCTCAGGAGCAGGGTTCTCCTGTCTCTTGGCTGTGGCTGTATTGGGGTGGGTTCAGGGTTGTAAGCCTACCTGCTGTCATTCTAGAGCTGGGAGTGTGGGCTGGTGATGGGAAAGGGCCTGGGTCCTTCTGTTCATTCTGTAGAGTTTTACCTAATTCCCCTGCCACCATTCTAGCATCTCACCAAAGGGCTCCTTTATGTGTGATGCTCTTAAGTCCAGAGCCTTTGGTTTATTGTCTACAGAAAATAAAGAGGTGGAGGAAAGAGTAGTCATCCATTATCTAGGGTGGGGATGGGCATCTGCTTAAAACTGTATCATATTTGGACCACCCTATTTCTTGTGTTGTCTGTCCCTGAGTTCAAACGGCCTATTCTTTCCCTGACTACTGGCCTTTCCCATGCTCATGTATATTTTTTAAGTTTTCAACATCTACTTTGTTTTATTGAATTCTTCTTTTTTCATAATCTTGCTTCAGTTGGACTAGTGGCTCTCTAGGCATAATTTATATCCTGGAACTTCCTTTCAGAGATCTCAATTGTATCCACCAATTTTTGTTTGTTTATTTATTTGTTAACTCCTTGTTTTGCTAGAGAAAAATACCCAAATACCGTCAGAGGAAAGAGTACTTGGGAATAAAACTTTCTGAGCCTGTCAGTGTATTAGTGTCATTATTCTTCTCTCACGT